TGATTGTTTATGCACATATTTTATTATGTTCCTAACCTATAAGACATTCCTTAAACGCAATACAGCCCAGACTTACTGTTTTTTCAATAGCTAGAACACTGGCATCTGTTGTTTGGTGGGAGAATCAGTGGAATGGAACATGCATATTTAACAAAGGACACAACAATATTTATCACTTCCAAGGGTCACTCTCAAATATAAGCCATTTCTCTTCCTATTTCAGTGGTATTTAGATTATCTGTTTTGGTAATCTAAATCTTTGCTATGTTTGAATTGGTTAAGAGCAACCAAAGGACCCAAAGTCACCCTATTTAGAAGCAGCGGAAGTCACTGATTGTATAAAATCCAGTCTTCCCAACAGCAAGCACTCAGGAAAGGTGTATTGAATGGATTTGCCTACTTGAAAAATGTAATACTTTTGAGAGGGACATAGTAGGAGATATTTCACTGCAAGAAAGCAACCTCCTCTAGTTATATAGGAAGTGGATTAGTGGGCCTTCTTGGCTAACCAGTAATAATACTACCAGACTAGAATCAACAAGTAAACTAAATTCTGTTGCTGGGTTGTCAGAGCCAACATGAAGTAAAATTTTGGAGCAGTCTTCTAGCTAAATCAGAAAACACAAACCAATTTTTACTTAGGACAGTATATTGATAGAGAAGATACCCAATAACTGTTTGATGATTGTAATGCTGACAATACTTTGCATGCTTTTGAAAATATGCTCCTTTGCTTAGCTACAGTACAGATGTGATGCTACTTCACTCAATTCATTCTAGGAGTATTCATTAAATGTTCCAAGTACTAGTGACAGTAGTAAACACACAAGACAAAAATTCCTACTTTCCTAGAACTTAGTTTCTAGTTGGAGTGAAGAAAAGTTAAACAGTATCTAAGTAAATACATACAGTATTGTGCTGCATAACATTTTGGTCAACACGGGGCTCATGTACAATGGTGGTTCCACTAGGAGTATAAGTTACACCACATAGCCTAGAAGGCTGTGCCATCTTGGTTTGTATAAATACACTTTATAATCTTTGCATCACAAAAATAACATAATTTCACATTTCTTAGAATGTATTCCTGCAGTTAAGCAACAGATGATTGTAAAAGTATGTTGATGGAAACTGCTGAGGAGAAAAGTAAAGTAGGAAGAAGCTATGAAATGTTGACGGGAAATTAAAAGAGCAGATAACATGACCTAGGAAGGTAACTTTTTTTTTTTTTAGAGGTTTTTGCTATAGGGTGCGTGCACTTGCCAGACAGACAGAGAGAGACAGAGAGACAGAAAGCGAGAAATCACTCCCCAGGGGAGATGGCCATGCCGCAATCCCTTCTCCTCCATTCTCCTATTGGGATCTTGGGCACGCACGCACGCACACGCACCTGGCGTGAGTTTTAAGCCACCGGGTCCAGGACGCGAACCGTGGTCGACTACGTGCGAGTCCAGCGATATAGCCATTACGCTAAGTGCTGGTCCCCAGAAGGTAACTTTTGAGTAAAGATTTAAAGAAAGTGAGGGTAGATAGAGACACAGTAGGTTTGCCATTATTCTGCAAGGTTGATCCATATGGGAAGCTTCCAGTTCACATGTGGTGATCTCCCTGAGTACACCAGGCACACACATGCCTCTGATCTGGGGCTGGCTGGAGCAGGGGATGGGTTGCAGCATCAAGACTCTGTTGGGGTGCTCTCTCTCCATCTCTCAGTTTCACTCACTGTCTCACTCGCTCTATTTTTTTTCCTAATGAAAAGTGTATTGGGCCTGCCCCATGGCTTAGACGTTAAGGAAATTGGAACCCACATAGCTGACCACAGCTGGAATCCCTGCTTGGTATCTTAAGAAGGCACTGAGCATGTGGGCCTGTGTGCCTCAAATCCCAACAGGATGGAGAAATGGGGCAAAAGGGATTGTGGAGTGACCATGCCCTTTTGTGGGGGAGTGCTTTCTCCCTCCCTCTCTCTCTCTCTCTCTGGTGAGCACATTTGCCTTCTAGCAAAAGACCAAAAAAAAAAAAAAAGTGAAGGCATAAGACATGCAGATGTCTAAAGAAAGCATGTCCTAGACAATAGTGACAGCATGTACAAAGGCACTGTGTCAGAAATTTCAGGGAACAGCGAGGAGGCCAGTGTGACTGGAACTGAGAAGATAAAAGAAATAAGAGAGGAGAAAGCAGACCACAAAAGTCTCCAGTGGTCACAGTAAGGACTGTTTTAGCCATTGAGAGAGATAGGAAAAAATTAGAGTCTGGCCAGAGCAGTGACGACGAGACTGACCTGGGTGTTAACGGGCTGATTCTGGTGTAGAGAGAGGACAAGAGAGGACAGCAAAGAGACAAGGACAGCAGCAGAAAAAGGAAATGCTTGTGCAAACGACGAGTCTGGAGTGCTGTTTTGTTTTGTTTTGTTTTGTTTTTTGTCTCTTTTTAGAGAGATTTTTGCTATAGGGCATGTGCATCTGCCAGAAAGACAGAGAAACAGACAAAAAGCAAGAAATCACCCCTCATGGGGGATGGCCCTGCTGCAATCCCTTCTCCTCCATTCTCCCCTTGGGATCTTGGGCATGCACACAAACACACCTGGCGTGAATTTAAGCCATCGGATCCGAGACTCTAACCGTGGTCGACTATATGGGAGTCCAGCAACATAGCCATTACGCTAACTGCTGGTCCCTGGAGTGTGTGTTTTTGACAAGCTCCTTAGGCAGGTCTTTGACACAGTAAAACTTAAGAGCAGCGACTTTAAATTATCTAAGCAATTGAGGCAAAAAATAAAATGATTTTATAATCCGATTATTTGATAATCTCTAATCTCTTGCTTCACTATGCCAGTGAAGAAACCAGGTCTAAGTAATTTGAACTAAATTCAAGTACATCCTCTCAATTCAGCCATGTACTCTGCAAACAGTGCTTCAGGAAGAGGGCTCAGAAGCCACTCTGACCTGTCTCTGTGTCATGGGACAACCTCTGAGAGAGGTCTCCTCTACAGAGGAGACTAGAGCTAATGGTATCAGGTCTGGGGATGTGTTTGATAAGGTTGCAGAGCATGAGCTCCATAAGCTTAAGTTTCAAGATGTGGTTGAAACAGAACATACAGGAAAGAACTTCTCTCAAGAAGTTCTCAGCTGAAGATTTTCACTTTTAATTGCCAAAGGGAGAGAAAGAGAAAGAACAAGAGAGCACCCAATCCTCAGTTGGACATGGTTATGCTGCAAACCTTTTTCCTCCTTTCCTCCATCCTGCTGGGTTTTGGGGACTTACGCACACGTGCTCAGTGTGTTTTTCAAGACACTGGGCCAGGATTTCAACTGCACAGTGACCCGTGTGGATTCCAGCTTTATATGCATAGCACATAAGTGCTGGGCTATGAGGCTGGTCTTTTTTTTTCTTAAATGGAAGTAAGTCAGCACTGTGTATCATTTGAATATATACAGATTCTAAATATATATACATATATATTTATTATCTACATAAATTCTGCCAACATTCTATATATTAGAATGTATTCTCTATATAGTTATAGAATATATGAATTTTACATATAGTCTATATACTCTATATTCTAAATGTATATATGTATATGTATCTCAAAATAAAATTCATAATTAGGGCTTTCCAAATACACTCACAAAGTTTACATTTACAAAAATTTTAATAATTCTTTATGACTGAATTTCATAATAACAACTTGCATTTGTAGATCATCCAATAATCGAAATAATAAATAAGACTCAGCTCCATAAACTACACATCGAAATTTCTTTTTCCTTTACAGTCACACTACACACAAACACCCCCATATTGTAACTAAGGGATTATACTCTTAACAATAAATACTTTTTAAAAAATCAACTTATTATGTGTCTTTTTAAAAATTCACATTGAATCAGGCCTCAATGATGAAATGCCTTAGGGAAATTGTGCTCAAGGAAGAATAATGCCAGGATATAAATGTTCTCATACAAAATAAATCACTTGGGCTTGCTCTTTTGTAATCTATTCAACATCAAAGAACAAAACTGTCTTCCATTTTTCTATTTCTTTTGTCTCTGTGTTATTTTACATATTTCTTCTAGAGTCTGCAAACAGCAGACACACAGGTAAATTCTTAGCTGACTATTGACTGGCCAGTCTAGAGCAATGCAACATTGGGAACCAGTTTTTAGATATTTTGTTCTTCTTATTTAGCTCCAACCAAAAACAAACTTCTAAAATTTCAAGAGGATAGACCTTGATAACTGAAAGGTACATAAATATAGTGAAGCAAATTTACCAGACTAATGATTTACTTTCTTAAAAAATTAATTCATTATTTTTAAAAATTTCCAGAGGGCAGGGACACTTGCCAGAGAAAGAGACAGACACAGAGAAAGAGGGAAAAGTAGTAGACACCCCCACATGGGGCGTGGTCATGCCATAAGCCCTTCTCCATTTCTCCACCTTATCAAGATGTTGGACACATCCCCCCAACTCACCCAGGATGTTTTTCAAGCCACTGTAGTGGAGTTTCAGCTATGAGTGTCAAGGTGCATTAACCACCAAGCCACGGAACCAGCCCAAGGGATTTACATTTCTTTAAATTATTAATTTATTATTATTATTTAATTTGCTATAGGGCATGTGTACTCACCAGAGAGAGACAGTGAGAGAGAGGAGAGAGGGAGAGAGAAAGTGAGAAAGCAAAGAGTCAAGTCCAGGACTCAAACCACGGTCAGCTATGTTGGCTTCCAGCACCCTAACCACCATGCGACCTGTGGACCCCAGTAATTTACTTTTTATAGGAACATTTACATCCCCTCACTGTTTTTCTTTGATCACAGTTTCCCTAAGACATTTCATCATTAAGGTCTGATTCAATGTGAATTTTTACAAAGACACATAATAAGTTGAATTTTTAAAAAGCATTCATTGTTAACAGTATGATCCATTACCCAGGTACAGGTTATTCTTTTAGATAGAGTACAGGCAATTGGTTACAAATAATGGATACTGATTACCTTCTGGCATGGAAGAAGTCTCTAGGTGTTGAAGTTTAAGGCCAGTGTCGAATCTTTGCGGCTTTGTATACAGAAATAAATAGCAAAGGACACAGACGCTGATGACAAAAGCAAGTAAAACAAGGGCAGCAATTCCCAATCCGATCAGGGCCCCGATGCTGAGGAAACAGGAGAAACACGTCACATAAACTGGTCTGCACAGAAACTAAGGGGAATGTTTAGATATTGTGTATTCTTGCTCTCAATCATTCATAACCAAATCATATTTTAGCATAGTTAATGATTGAAATCTATATCTCACCTACTTTTATTGCCCTCAAATTTTTGTATTTTTTTCTATAGGTTTTCAAGGCACTTTAATCATTTATATGTTAATATTGGTAGGGAAGGGGCCAGCAGGTGGCATGGGGGTTAAGGGCGCTGGACTCCCACATGGCCAACCGTGGTTTGAGTCCTAGACCTGGCAGCTTGCTTTCTCACTTTCTCTCTGTCTCTCTGTCTCTCTCTCCCTCTCTCACTCTGTCCCTCTCTAGTCAAATTAAAATAAATAAAGTTCAATAATTCTTTTTAAAAAAATTGGTAAGGAAGACCATATGAATTCATATTAGAGGTAAAAGGTCATACACTTCTCTAGAGATAATTCATAAACACCAAATCAAATAAACCTCTATATTAATATATCTTAGAAGGAAAGGTCAACTTCATCAAAGAAAGATGAGTAGAAAACATTAGCTTTTGCAAAACCATCAAAGCAAAAGTTTACTGTAAATATAAAACTTTTCATTTTAAACATTTGCAAGGTAACATTTATTGTACACAAAACCACAACTCTTACAAAAATGAAGAAAGCTTGAATGAAAAGAAAACAGTATTTGCACAATTTATATGAAGTTCATATTCAGTTTTTTTTTTTCCTTTTTAAGAGGGCATTATGTCAAAGGCTTCTAGATTAGGAATGAAGCACTACATTTTTCTCTAAAAATAAGATGTATATTTGGGGTATTTGCTCTGTGCCAAACTTGTAATAATTCCTTCTGATACAGTTACCCATAAGGTTAATCATTTGAGAAGTAATAGCTTTCATAAACTTGTGAACTTAAAACTGTTAAATGAGAAAAGGAGCCTGGGGGAAAAAGTTCTTGAAAGACTAATATACAAGCATATATCTTCTTGAACCGTGTATGTGCATGTGAGTATAAATACCTTTAACTATATTTTAAGCTGCTCGAGAGCAGATATTTTTTGTTGACTTTCCATAGAATTGTGCACACTTATTACAAGGGTATAAGTGCTTAACTTGTAGCAAATGTTCAGTAAATAGCAACATTTAACGATTAACTGTTGATTGGTCTAACTGTAGTAATTTGGAACATACTCCATTGAAAAGTAATGATCTTGTTCTTCATTATCTTCCTGACTTAGTTTTAGGTTTCTGCTCTTTCCCAGGGATTAGATCCCTGACAAGTGTGATCTGTACCAAAAGGAAGGGAAGAGAGAAGTTGACCAGGAATGTTAAGAGTATCGTTGTTTGGGGAGGAAGGAGAATAGAATTGAAAGTGAAGGCCTAAGCTCACTCCACTCGTTCTGGATTTGAGGAGATAAGCACCCTTGCAAATGGGAGATTGCCTCCTGGTGCTTACACAAGGAGTCAGATTTCCAGAGATTCTTGTACTCAGTCTATTAATGTCAGTCCAGTTTTGTTGGTTGTTGTTTCTTTTTTAATAATTTATTTTATTTGTTATTATTATTATTATTATTTTTAATACAAAACAAAACAAAATAAACGTTTGACCAGAGAAAGAAAGAGAGAGAGAGAAGGGGAAAGTGAGAAAGCAAGTCTCCAGGTCCTGGACTTGAATTGTGGTCGGCCATGTGTGAGTCCAACACCTTAACCACTATGCCACCTGCCAGCCCCCTGTGTCAGCCCACTTTTACTAGCCATGCACACAAGTGGAGACAGGTTAATTTTGTTAAGTGTGCTTGTTTGTTTGTTGTATTTCTTCACAGAGTGGAAACAGAAACCCTTGACAGTGTCCTAATGTGCTGCAATTCTCACTCTACTCTTCCCAGCTACACAGGATTCCAGGTGCCTATGGGTGCACGTAACATGTTTCAGGTTGACCTAGGGTCCAAACCATGGAAAGATAGGGTAATTTAATGGTTGGGGCCAGAATAGAGTCATAATTTAAGCTTGGGGTTTACCATCAGTTGGTGCACTCTCTTCTAAGGAGAGGCAGACTTCCTGTGTCTACCAGCTCCTCATCTGCTAGTTTGCACCAAAACTGACCTTTGTATATTTTAAGTATCAGGGAGGGTTAGGATCATTTCACTGTAGACAGACACATGGGAATATGTCCATTTAATTAATGTTATCTGGTATACAAGGAAGATAGAAGACATCCAGAGACAGTTTTGAAATGAAAACCCAATTGTTACAAACACCTTCAAAGCCAATAAATATTTAAGTCAATTTAAAAGTACGACTGTCAATTTAATTAAATTTAACATGCATCCTTTGAGCTCTTGGTGTACAAATTGAACAAACAGATCACATAACTGGAACTAAAAGCAAAAACAAAGCATATCATTTCTGTTTTTTATTATAGAAGAATGTTCTTTATAATCTTGGCAAACTATTTTGATGCCACAGTTCTACTTTATAGAAACAGTCCGTGCATGGAAACCTCCAGGTATAACCTCTGGGTAAGGATGGAGCTCTAGGCATCCACTAAATATTCATTTCAGCATTTTCTTATTGAATACACACTCATGCATAGCCTATCCAATATGCTTTATATGCTTAGTCTTGTAGAAAATTGCCAAAGGAAGTCTAAGAATTGGGGGCTTTATAGGACAGGAGAAGTCAGAAGTGGTCCAGACATAGGAAAAGGACAAGTCTTTCCTACACCACCATATGGCAGTTGCTTTTCAAACCTCAGGGAAGAGTGGGAAGCTGCTGTCACATGAATGCAGCAATTCCCCTAGCAACTTCACTTACCTGTGGGAGTTACACTGTGCCTTTCCGCAGCAGCTGCAGATTCTCAGAACAGGGGCTAGTGGCTTCTGGAATATTTTTCACAGTTGGACTACTTTAAATTAGAAGTGGAGAGTAAAGACTGGGAGGGAAATGAAATGCTAAATTTACATCCCCACATGTTCTCAGAGCTCTACCACTGACAGAACTCCAGGCTTAACATTGCCACCAGTTAAATGATTTCTCTATTTCCCAAGAACTGAGATGCGCTGTCCATTCTGTTAGTACTGAACGAAGATCCCAGCAAGCTATTCACTCCTTTGGGCCCTTGGGCAATCTTAGGGAGATTTTACAGCCTGTGCCACTTGTCACTGTGGAACTGTTCAGGAATCTGAGAGTCCCAGACACATTTTCC